CATACTTCATCTCAAAATCCTAAAAAAAAGAAGAGCAAAACAACAGCAAAAGAAGTAGAAGGCAAGAAATAATTAAAATCAGAGCTGAAATTAATGAAATCAAAACAAAAGAAACAATTGAAAAAATTGACAAAACTAAAAGTTGGTTCTTTGAGAAAATAAATAAAATTGACAGACTCTTAGCCATGCTAATGAAGAGAAGAAGAGAGAGAACTCAAATTACTAGCATACGGGATGAAAAAGGCAATATCACAATAGACACTTCAGAAATACAGAAGACAATCAGAAATTATTTTGAATCCTTATACTCCAATAAAATAGAAGATAGTGAAGGCATCGATAAATTTCTTAAGTCATATGATCTGCCCAGATTGAGTCAGGAGGATATAGACAACCTAAACAGACCAATATCAATTGAGGAAATAGAAGAAACCATCAAAAGACTACCAACTAAGAAAAGCCCAGGACCGGATGGGTATACAGCAGAGTTTTACAAAACCTTTAAAGAGGAACTAATACCAATACTTTTCAAGCTATTTCAGGAAATAGAAAAAGAGGGAGAACTTCCAAATTCATTCTACGAGGCCAACATCACCCTGATACCTAAACCAGACAAAGACACTTCAAAGAAATAAAACTACAGACCAATATCTCTAATGAACCTAGATGCAAAAATCCTCAATAAAATTCTGGACAAATGAATGTCAGTAGAGGGGGCAGAGAGAGAAGAGGGGAGGGGAGGGGAGGGAAGGGGGGATAGTAGAGGATAGGAAAGGCAGCAGAATACAACAGACACTAGTATGGCAATATGTAAATCAATGGATGTGTAACTGATGTGATTCTGCAATCTGTATATGGAGTAAAAATGGGAATTCATAACCCACTTGAATCAAAGTGTGAAATATGATATATCAAGAACTATGTAATGTTTTGAACAACCAACAATAAAAATTAAAAAAAAGAAAGTAAAACAAACAAACAAACAAAGTACATGTATGAAGACATGAATTGGTGTCAACATACTTTATATACAACCAGAGATATGAAAAATTGTACGGTATACATGTAATAAGAATTGTAATGCATTCTGCTGTCATTTATGTTTTTTAAATCAATAAAAAAAGATAATGAAAAGACCTTCTGTAGAATGGAGAAAATGTTTGCAAAATGCATACCTGATAAAGGGCTAGTATTCAAAATATGCTAAGAACTATTTATTTATTTATTTAGGTACCAGGTATTTGATTCACGGGCATTTATTTATTTATTTTTATTTTGAAAGAGGGTCTTATTAAGTTGCTGAAGGATTCACTACATTGCTGAGGCTGACCTTAAGCTCTAGCTATTCCTGCCTTAGCTTCTCAAGCTGCTGAGATTATAGGTTTGCATCAGCATCCTCAGCTAAAAGTACTCTTAAAACTCTAAGACAATGAACAATTTATTTAAAATTGTGCAAAAGATCTGAATAGATTCCTCACCAAAGAAAATATAAAGATGGCAAATAAACATATGAAGGGATATTCAACACTATATGTAATTAGGGAATTGTAAATTAAACAGCAAGAAAATACTACATACCTATAAGAATAGCTAAAACCCCAAAAAAACTGACAACACCAAATTATGGTGAAAATGTGAAACAATAAGATCTCTCATTTATTGCTGATGGAAATGCAATGTGGTACAGCCACTTTAGAAAGCAGTATGATGATTTCTTATAAAACTAATTCTCATCATTTGATCAGGAATCATGCCTCTTGGCATTTTCCAAAAGGGACTGAAAACTTATGCTGACACAAAAACTTGTGCTTTAATGTTTACAGTATATTTATTCATATCTGACAAAACTTGGACGCAATTAAGATGTTCCTAAGAGGTTGAATGATAAACTATAGTACATATAAGCAATGGAATATTATTCAGTACTAAAATTAAGTGAGCTATAAAAACCACATAAAGATATGGAGGAAACATAAATGCATGTTACTATGTGAAAGAAGCCATATGAAAAGGCTACATACTTAAGTCTAACTATATGACATTTTGGAAAAGGCAAAACTATGGAGATAGTAACAAAAGGATCAGTGATTGTTGAGAGTTAGTAGGAGGGGGAGATGAATAGGTGGAGCACAGGAGATATTTAAGGCAGTGAAATTACTGTATGTGATACTACAATGGTGAATACATGTGATTATATATTTGTTAAAACCCACAGAATAATACTAGCAGTAACACTTAAAGTAAACTATGGAGTTTGGAGGATAATGATATAACAACTAAACCATGAAATGCTGACAGTGGGTGAGGCTGTAAGAAGTGCACGGGAACTCTGGTACTTTCCACTCATTCCAAAACTGCTCTAAAAATAAAGCCTATTTTAAGAAATGAATAATCCTGAGGGGAAACTTTTAGAGATAGGCACATCCACTCTAAAACACAGAGCATGAGGCAGGGGGTAAAACTAAATGGTATAGTACTTGCCTGGCATGCATGAGGTTCCAGGTTTAATCCCTATATGTGCTCAACATATAAAATGTAGTCCACGTAAGAAAATATTAATCTTGGGACTGGGGTTGTAGCTCAATGGTAGATGCTTGCCTACCACATGTGATGCATTGGGTTCAATTCTCAGCACCACATAAAATAAATAAATAAAAGTACTGTGTCCATTTACAACTAAAAATATTTTTAAAAGGAAATATCAATCTTACAAGCAATACAAAAATCCTGAAACTGAGTTAGAAAGAGATTACATTCATTATATCCTATAATTCATTATATCTTAAGCAATGGAATATTATTTAGTACTAAAATTAAGTGAGCTATAAAAACCATGGAAACATAAATGCATGTTACTATGTGAAAGAAGCCATATGAAAAGGCTACATACTTAAGTCTAACTATATGACATTTTGGAAAGGGCAAAACTATGGAGATAGTAACAAAAGGATCAGTGATTGTTGAGTGTTAGTGGGATTAAAATACTATTATAAAAATACTATTATATTTTTAAAATACTATTTTTTAAAAATACTATTATAATGAATGTTCCTATAAAAAGCTTTCAAGCCCCACTTAAAGAATCGCCAAGTTGGAGCAATAGTTAATTCAAGAACAACAAAAAAAAAGAGCAACTAAATCATGTAGACAGAACTTTGAAATTTGTTATAGTCTGATTGAATCTTATTTACATATTATTTAATGATCCTGCATATTTCAACAATGAAAGACATATCAGATATCAGAGTGTGCCAATTTCTGTAGAGTACAAAGAATACGAGCTAAATATTAGTAGAATTATTTCTGTGTTAGAATAAGCAATTGTTAGGTGAAGAAATCCTCAAATTTGCTGGAATGAAATAAATGAGTTGTCTCTAAGGTACTCATCTTTTGTGAAATATCTTATTAATGGCTAATTATCTCTCAAAAGTACTTTTGAACACATAAGAAGTCAAATACTGTACCAGAATCCACACTGTATGCTAAGCAGACCAAAGGATTAAATTGACTATTTTAGAGATACTGACTCTGAGTGAGCTTGCTATAGTAAAGATGGAACTCCTAGATATCTGTTCATGTTCCCCCACTCTAGCCACCTGGAGGACAAAAATGAAAGCATTTCAGCTTATGGCTCCCAAGAATCACACTAAATTTTACAAATTCTGCATGCAGAAATCATCAAACTTTCATCAAGAAAATGAGCTACTGCTAAAAAATCAAACAAAAAATATGCCTCCTCAGGATCTCGGAATAGAAAATGCCAAAGGACATAAGGCAGAAGTAGCCTGGCACACACCTTGGCCAAGATATATTTCCAAAACTTATTGTGAGAGCAAGTGTATTGTGAGTGGGAGATAGATGTAATATAACTTTAAAGTAAATGACTATATTACTTAAAGGTATTAATGGTTAAAAATATTTCAAGGCCTATTGTAGTTAAACAAGATAACTGTATATAGTCTGTGCAAGACACAAAATTGTATTTGTGACAATAGAGTAAGTTCAACCTTTATTGCTAATAAACACAGACATTATATTTTCAGCACAAGGAATAAAATTGCATTTGTGGCAATAAATGTCTCTTCTCCTGGTTTCAGAATAAACCTGTGTGGTGTGCTTATCATTCTTTTTCCATTCTTTTCAAACCGACTTATTTTCTTTAAAACCTAAATTTAAGTGGTTGGGTTACATTTAAACTTTTTCTCAAATAAAATATTTTCATATAAATTAACTGAAAATATACATAAAACTTTTCCAAAGGAGAAAATAATCACTATTTCTTTGAAATTTAGTCATCACTGAAGGCCAGATCTTCCCACAGAGCAATCTTTTTTAGAAATTAAGGTACTAAAGAAAGAAGGGGCCTTGTGAAACATAAAAATTATGATGACTAAGTTAAAAAAAATTACAACATATTTAAGTTTATTGAAAATTATCATTTTTATGTGACAATCATAATCTTTTAGACTTAATATGTGTTATATCTATTATAATCTTTCTAATGAATTAGGTTAAGAAATAAACCATAACATTTATGATTCAAGAGAATTTTCTTTGAAATAGATTTTTACTTAATTATAATAGTTCATCTTTTATTCCTGGCTTGAATTTACTTAAAAATAAAACATTTTCAAAATACTATGTTCTGAAAAAATATACATATCCAAGTAAAATTATCATATCAGAAGTATGTTTTAAAGCTATGGTTTCTAATTTTGAATTATTTATATTGGTTTTGAAATATACAAGAGGACCTGCACAGATAAAAAAGATAACCAGAAGCATTAATTACTATCCCAGTTTTTAACAGAATATATTTTTTGTCATCAAAAGTAGCTTCCAAGGACAAAATACATGCTATTAATTAATGCAAAATTATTTTCCAATGGACACAGACATAGTATCTCCCTATAAAGATACAGAGATTTTAAAATGTGTAAACATTTTAAATAAACAAATAAATCCTTCTTTGGGGTGGTAAAAACAAAAAACTCATATACCCTGCTTTGACAGGCAGCACATTTCCAGTCTTTGCTCATGAGAATATCCATAGAATAGATATGCTTCTTGAAGTGCACTTTTATACCACTTCTTTTTATTTGTACATTTTCCTGGCTAAAAAATACAAAAAAGAATAAGATATATTTTTAAATATGTAATTTTATTTTAAAATCCAAACTTACCTATTGAGCTGGAAGTAAATCTACTTTGAGCATTGTATAATATATTACTCAGACTTTGGTCTGTGATTGTTGCTTTATGACTTAACAGTTTAGTGCAGTTGTAGGAATTTTGCAAGCTAATAGTCAAAAGAGTCAGATGCTTAGCTCACTGAGCTTATATTATGATTCATCTTATATTTAGAAGGTTTCTTAAACTTTTTGTGCCTGGTTATCTGGAAAATGTGAATATTAATAATATGTGCACCATAAACTTCCATGAGCCTTATGTAATAGGTAATAGTTTTTTAGAATATAAGAACGAAAAAAGAATTGCAATGAAGGTAGAGCACATTTTCTACATGCTTACTTAGTTTTTTAGAAAATGAAGAATCCATGGGTTAAAGCTGACTATAAATATTATCTAATCAAATAATTTTTCCAAACTTTAAAAAAAAATGCCAGAAAGGTTTCCATGTTTTTTGTTACAATTTATAAAATGCATGCCACTTTTTTTTTGGAAAATTTTACCATCATAAAAACATAGATATTCATTCTATTCATTCATATTTGCCATCTATGTATAAAGATCATAACTTTATCTCAGACATAGAACATAATTCACGCTTTACATAGAAATATAAATTACTATAGCATCTATATTCAATTTATAGAATGAAACTATATATAAAGCTCTTCTCAAATGCCACCAATATTCTTGGAATCCCCAAATTAATATCAACTATCTACTCCTATTGCAGTTATTATTTCATTTAATGGTGTTTTACATTATGACTTGTATTATAGCTATTTGTGCTCATGACTGTCACCATCATACAATGAACAACCTACAAAGATAAAGGAAATAAATAATATTTCATCTTTGTAACTTCTACAGTACTCATTTGCTTAACACCTCATTGCATACTATAAAAGCATTCAGAAAGTGATTGCTACTTTTGTTTTGGTTGTTGATTAATTTTATATAAAGGCAGTAAAACAATATTATCAAATAAAAGTACACCTTTGTACACAGGATCTACAAATTTCATTCATTAAGGTATTTGTTAGTAAAAAGATATAGGCAGATTCAATTTATTGAAACTGGAAATTTTAAATTACTTTTAAGAATATCTAGCCAGGTACAGTGGCACACACCTGTAATCCTAGTAGCTCAGGAGGCTGAGGCAGGAGGATTGAGAGTTCAAAGCTAGCCTCAGCAACTTATTGAGGCACTAAGCAACTCAATGAGACTCTATCTCTAAAGGGCTGGGTGAGGATGTGGCTCAGTGGTCCCTAAGATCAATCTCTGGTAACCCCCCGCCAAAAAAAAAAAAAAAGATTATCTAAGCTAGCTTTTGCATATTTGAGGTACTTCTACAATTCCAATGTTTTCATGATTTTAAGTAATAAAGTATAGTGAAAAATCACCTAAAGCTTATATGGCACTAAACAGTTGCTACTAATTGGGTAAGGTTCACATCTATAATCCTAGACTTAGGAGGCTTAGGTAAAAGGATTGCAAGTTTAAGGCCAGCCTAGGCAAAGTAGGGAGACCCTCAACAACTCAAGGAGACTCTGTCACTAAATAAATAAATAAGAAAGAAAGGAAGGAAGGAAGGAAGGAAGGAGGGCTTGGGATGTAAGCTCAGTTGGGTAAAGTGCTCCTTGGTGAGAAGGGGTGGGAGAGATGCTATACCTATGGGTATAGTATTAAAAAGTGTTCCCCCCCAAAAAAAATCAATGTGATATAGCTCAAATAAATTTGAGTAAGTTAAGGGAACCGAAAGCTTTGTTTAACAAACTTCCCTGGGAACCTTTAAGAACTTATTGGTTGATATGTGCCACCTAGTGGTAATACAAATGAACACTTTCAGGGAACTCAAAAAGCTCTATTTTATAAAGAATTTTGAATACCAGATTAGGCTCAACTGTGCATTTTATTTTTGAAGTAGGTTGTTTTTTTTTTTAATTCAAGAAGTCACTGGTTCAAATTCTAATAGTATGTAATGCGCCTGCCTTCCCATCCCGGATACTGTTTATCACAAAGGCAAACATAATTAATAGTTTCCTTTGTATTCTTCCAGAGATATTGTATGTATTTACAATCATTTAAATAATTTGTATGAACATATATTTTAGAAGGACATGAATATTTATATTTTTTAAAATTTTCTTACAAATTGCTTATTGATTCAATATATGTTGTATATTCAAGGTCTATCATTGAAGAAAATGCATAAAACTTACATTCTAGCGTGTGAGGACAAACAACCTACTACAAGCATAACAAATGAGTAAAAGCTATAAGAGGTGCTAAGTACTATATAATAAAGACAAGACAAAACAAGAGTGATCACAAATGCTGAGGGATAAGCAATAGAGTGGTCAGGATAAATCATTGAAAAGGTAATATTTTAGTGAAGACCTGAAGGAGACTGGGGAGTTAGCTATTTAGCTATGCAAGGAAAGAGCATTTCAGGCAAAAAAAAAATCCCCTATCATTAATGCACATAAATCCAGTTTGAGAGGATGAATTACATAGAGGGAGAGTAATAGGGAATGATGTCAGAAAATTAGTAAGGGCCAGGTCATGGAGGTCCTTGTAGGCTGCTAGAAGGTCTTTGACTATTACTTTGAGCAAAAGAGATGTTATTGTAGTGTTATAATCGGAATAATAACATTTGATTTTGTCTAATGTTTTAAAATAATTATTCTCGTTGCATTGATGAGGACAGAATGTACAGGTAAAAGTGGAGAAGCAGGACAGCTAGTTAGAAGTCACTGCAATAATCCAGGCAAGAAATGATGATGATGTGGATTAATGAAGTAGCAACTCCTGTGGTGAAAAGTGTTAGGATTCTGGATGTAATTTGACCAAAAGTAATTACTGGACCAACCAAAAACTAGTATGAAAGAAAGTGAGGAAGATTCTAGGGCTTTTAGGCTGAATGAGTAAAAGGTTGAAAACTGCTATGCATTCAGATGAGGTAGGCTCAAAAAAGGGAGGAAGATGAGGAGTTTCGGCATGCCAAGTACAAGATGTCTCATATTCATGTCCATAAGAAGGATAACTCTGACATCCAAATGGAGATATCAAATATCAATTGGATAAGGAAATTCATGAGAGAGAATTAATATAAAATTTGGTAATCTCTTTCTCTACACACACATGGAGAAAGGGGGAGGGGGGAAAGAGAGAGAGGGAGAGAGAAATTGTCAGTACTTAAAGCCTGACAACCAAAGGAATGAGGAAACAGATGTACACACACATACCCACATACAAGATACATAGGTACACTATTTGACAAATGTCCTAGTTTTTTATTTTGTTTGTTTTGATAACAGAGATTAAACCCAGGGATGCTTAACAACTGAGCCATATCTCCAGCCCTTTTAATTTTTTTTTTTTTTTGAGACAGGGTCTTGCTAAGTTACTTAGGGCCTCACCAAGTTGCTGAGACTGGCTTTGAACTCGCAATCCTCCTTGCCTCAGTCTCCAAAGTCACTGGGATTACAGATATGTCTCCACTGTGCCTGGGAACAATGCCCTAGTGATGAACATTTAGGTTGTTTCTAACATTAGACAATTTGAAACAATGCTTCAATGAAAATTTTATCCATATGATATTTTGCCCATTTGAAAGTCTATTAAAGGATACATTTTTAGACATTAAATAGCCAGATTTAATGTATGCATATTTTAAATTTTAGAAGCTACTGTGAAATTACTCTTGAATGAGGAGGTTGCAATCTATGATGCCACATACAATATATTTCCTTACATCCTGAAGAATACTTCTGTTTTAAGTTTTTAGATATGTGGTACATTTTTTAAGGAAAAATAATAATTTCTTTCTATGATCATTTTCATTTCTTCAATTTGGACCATTTTTCATTATTTTTAAAAGCAACTTATATTTTCCTTTCTAAGGAATGACTGTTCAAGTACTCCGTTAAGATCTATAATGGTATTTCTTATTGATTTGTAAAAAATTTTTACACATTAAAGGGATTGGCCCTTTGCTTTAGATGTTACAATTATTTTCCTGTTTATAGTTTATCTTTTAGTACTTCTGATTTTTCTTTTTGTACATTTAAACCTTTCATTTTTCTAGAACTAAATATGGATGTATGTATGATTTATAATTCCAAATTCATTTTTCTCAAGAAAGCTATTTGTACCCACACCATTTACAAACAAAACCATTTTACTTTTTTCTTATTTACTTTTTTATTTAAGTATTTAAAGATGGGGGTCTAGCTACATAGCCCAGTCTGATGTCAAATTCCTGGGCTCAAGTAATCCTCCTACCTCAACCTCCTGAGTAGTTAGAACAACAGGCTCACAATACTGGGCCCAGCTTTTACTAAATATGACCTTGCCCATAACTGTTCTTCCAAATACTTTTATTTGTAGACTCCACTGTTCTATCAATCTGTCAAATCATTGTTAGTAAAAAAAAAAATGTTTTAACTATTGAAGCTTTAAATCCAAGTTCTTGTCCATGCTACCACTGAATTCCATCCCTGGCACTTTTTAAATTTTTTGTTGAGATAGGGTCTTCTAAGTTGCTGACACTGGCCTTGAACTTGTGAACTTCCTGCCTCAGCTTCCCACATAGCTGGGATTACAGATGTGGAACACCCTGCTAACTTCTTAACAGCTTTTCTATTATTTATAACAGCTTTGTTTAAAACAGTTTTTCATTTGAGTTCCATGGGTTTCCCAGGTATATAATCATCTGCTAATAATGTAATTTTTTTCTTCCTTTCCTATCTATTCATGTTTGCTTCTTTCTTTGGATAATTATATTAGCAATTAGGACAATTTTAAATAGTCATATTAATTCAACTTATTTTTAAAAATCCTATATTTCCCCCTAAACAGCAAATTTTCCTCTATATAAAATATTCAGTCAAATGAGTTCATGAACTCGTTTAAGACATGT